CAACTTTATTTATTAACATACAATCAAAATAATATTTCAGTACAATTAGATTACCACCACAGTTAGGCATACATGTCTAAGTCAGTTTCTGTTAATCTGAGTATACCTTTATAATCTTAGGAATTTATCATCATAAAAAAACCCATCCTCATCCAAAATATTTTGAAGACCTCAGTCTAAAAAGAAGATACAGTGATAAGCAGAGAGTGTAAAGAAGAGACAGAGTGAGTAGCTCCTATGGGGAGGCAAGGAAGCTTTAGGAAGGAGTTGAAAACATGTGGGGAGATGAAAAGGATGGAAAGGGTAGGAGAGAGAAGGATAAGGTCCTGGTGAAAAGATTTTTCAATCCAGGACATTCCCAAACAGACTGAGAGACCCATCAGAGAGTAATGTCCCACAATCATGGAGGAGAGGTGTCCCTTTCCATATGATGGGGGCCAGTAGGGTGAAAGGAGCATCCTAGCATATTGGTATGGCTTTTATAGTAACAGACAAAGCAGACAGCTCTGGGGTGACCCTTACCCAGTAGAAGAAGAGAGAACAAGCGTAGGGAGAGACAGCCCTTTCTTGTAACAGGCACCCAGGAGGGTTTAGCAGACTCCAGAAGCCAGAGAGATTCAGATGCCCCAAATCAGTGACGAAACATAGTAGGTGGAGGGGAGAAGTGGCTGATGGCATGTACGCTAGATTTTATACTCAAATATCAAGGGTGGCAGAAGCCAGTAGAGACAAATGCGCCATACACAACATAGAAGAGTCAGATCAGACGCTGGGTCCCTTAGAAAGAGGTCCATTTATGTACCATCCCAGATTTCAGTGCCAGATACACAATTGCTCCAATGTATGTTTAAAAGAATATCTATATTGTAGATAAAAGTCAAGAGAAGGGAGAGAAAGTCATACACTGAACACAACCAGCAGAATAGACTTGGCCAAGGGGTTGGAGAGGAGGAAGACGAGAGAGAGAGAAAGAGAGAGAGAGAGAGAGAGAGAGAGAGAGAGAGAGAGAGAGAGAGAGAGAGAGAGAGAGAGAGAGAGAGAGAGAGAGAGAGAGAGAGAGAGAGAGAGAGAGAGAGAGAGAGACAGAGACAGAGAGACAGAGACAGAGAGACAGAGACAGAGCATAAAAAGTGCTTAGCAGAAATGTCAGGGTTATATTGGAATCAGAAGCTGGAGGAAGGGAAGACCATGAGCTGGAGAAGTTTAGTGTGTGATGTGGGGTGAAAAGAGCTAGGATGCCAGCATGAACTCTGTAACAGGTATTTACAATGCTGAGGGAACCTGGAGGCCAGCATGTGCTTTGGTATATTAATAGGTACCACAGTTAGCCATTTGTCCAAATTTTGTTTGTTTTTATTTTGGGACCATATAGCCTCTAAATCCATCAGGACAATAAAACTAGAAGAGTGCCCTTCCTGCGTCAATTAGCAGAGAAAAACCAAGAAAGTGGGAGAAGAGAGTATAGAAAGGAAAAGAGAGGAGATTTTTGAAGCAGTAGTTACACACCATCAATTTCCATATCCATGAATACAGGAGACTGAAAACCTCAGTGTGGGGACTTGAATTTTCCCAGGCACCTTGGGCCCTTCTCATATCCCTGTTGGTATTGTTCAGAGTTGTGGAAACTGTTTATCACTTTGAGAAATTCTTCAGGAAGATGCTTATGCTATCAACTTAGTGTTTCATTTTTGTTTTTAGGGTCTTGCTCAGTAGCTCAAGTTGGCCTTGGGTTGGTGATTCAGCTTCCTGAATGCTGGGATTATATAGATGGAATGTACCACCACACCTGCCTTTGGTACTTTTCCAGAAAGTTCTTTGAGGATAGGTAGTAATTAAAAAAATTTCTTTATTTATAATGTCATTTTGTGCCATACTTTCTCAATACATTGTGCAGCTTAGCTGTCCTGGAGTTCAGCTCACAGGGAGGAATGGAAACAGGAGATCCAAGATCCAGAGCCTGCTCTTCCCACAGAACCTGCCTTCCCTGAATAGCTTGTCTACAGAGCCTGCTCTCCATAGGTGGATGAGGAAACATGTCCCTGATTTTGGAGCTCCATCTTTACAGTAATCTACAGAAGGGCTAACACCAATGTCAGCCTGGGATACTATTTATACCTGTATAATTCACCTAAGCTTCTCCAGCAAATGCAATGTTAAGAAGTCCGAAAGCGAGGTCTCTTCAACCAGAATGTCACTCTTAGAAATCTCTATTATAGGCTAAATTGTGTCTATTGAAAATTCCCATTGAAGTCCTAAACCCTAGTACCTCAGAATGTTGCAGACAACACTTTATGGGGTTATCGAGTTTAATAGAGGTCTTATGTGAAGGCCTTAGCAGAGATAGCATCTTTATAAGAGGAAGGAGAGACACCAAGAATGAAGTTTATAGAGGCAAGATTGTGAAGACAGAAGATGGCCATCCGCAAGTCAAGTAAAGAGGCTTCAGAAGACACCAGGCGCCTGACACCTTGATCTCAGACTTCTAGCCTCCAGAACTGAGAAAAAAATTAAGAAGTCTGTTGCTAAAACCAACCAGTGTGCTGTATTTGTCATGATAGCACTGAAGAACAAATGGCCTCTCCCACTAGGAAATGATGGCAAGCCACCCTGGTCCCCACTTTTGTAACAGGAGACAAGTGAGTGGCTTCTATTCACAGATCCTCACAAACATGAAATCTAGACACACACACACACACACACACACACACACACACACACACACACACACACACTCCACCTTATCTTCGTGCAATAATTACTTTTATCAATTTTACTGGACTTAGAATCACCTGGTGACCTACTTCTGACTGTGTCTGTGGGTGTATTTCCAGGAGGAAGTGGGAGAAGGAAGACACAACTTGAATGTGGGTAGTGCCATTCAGTGTTGTGAGGTCCTTGACTGAGGGGAAAAAAAAATAAGGAGAAAGCTATTCTCCTCTCTCTGCTTTCTGATCAGATCGGATGGTACCAGTTTACTCCATGTTGGACGCTATCTCCCAAACACAAACCTAAAACAAATATTTTCTCTCTTAAGCTGATGTTGACAGCAGTGAACAAAGTGGTTATCAAAGATAAAATATCTCTTCCTAAAGGCCCTTGGGTGAGCCAGTTTCAGGGACTATATATCAAGGGAGAAGAGGCTCTCTGGAGAAGATGGTGCAATTCTACGATAGAATGAATCTCATATAAGTCAAATTGCATTAAAATAATATCCAGGCCATTCTTGAAGAGGAAAATTAATTAAAAGGACAGATACTTGTAAAAGGGGAAAAAAGTATTTATGGGTGTCGAATCTAGAACATGAATTGCAGTCTGCTTGATTCCCTCTACCACTTCTGCAGGCCAGATTTCTATGCTTTTCTCTGATAAACTTGTTGTTTCCCAAAGTGTTCCTAGCAGTAGGTGAGGAAGGCTATCACATAATTCATCTTCATCTGGAAGGTATGGGAAATGGAAACAGGTTTAACTTCAGTCCAATTGCTCCCATTTTATAAATTCTTAGAACAAAGGACTTATATGATGGTGATCGACATGGGAATTGAAGTTTGCTCTTTTCAGTTTTGTCCCAGTGTCAAAGAACATTCCTCAACCAATACATACGTGCATACATACACATTTCCTAGAATTGTTAAAAATATTATAATACCTGTTGTATTAAATTTCCAAAAGTAGAAGAATTCAGATGGCAAGTTTCTCTTTTAAAGGGTGTATTTAGGAACACTGCACTGATCATTAGGGGGATTTCCCTCCTTCCTTTCTATTATCTGTGGCTTAGAGGGATCTTTTGCCAAATGCCTACAAAATGTTCACAGATTCTTTCATGTAATACATTATCTTTTTGCTAAGCATCTTCAAGGATTTGCCTTTTCAAAAAAAAAAAAAAAAACCATTGTACAATCCACAGTATTTCAAAACAACTCTGGCATGTTTAATCCAAGTTGAGCGGTATATATCCACCTCAGGTTTTGCAGCTCCATCCTTCAGAAGCTCAAAGGCTACGGGAAGACAAGAGAGACGCCCTGAAGTCAATCCAGGCACAAACCAGCACATGATCGAGTCAAACACATTCACGGGTCAAGAATTACCCTTCTGTCCAGAAGCAGTAAAGTGAAGTCCCAAGGAAAAGATCCGAGGTCCCAGCACCCACCCAGTGCAGAGCCTGTCACTCCACCCGCAAGGTCTCTTTAAGAAGCCGAGCTCAGGGCGGGGGCACAGCGCTCACGTGACCCGGAGCAGCTTGCTAGTTTGCGGAAGCCGCTCTTCAGTCCAGTTGTCGGGATGGTGCAGCTGTACAACCTGCACCCGTTCGGGTCGCAGCAGGTGGTCCCCTGCCAGCGGGAGCCAGAGCAGTTCTGCTGCGGCGGGCAGGACGCGTTGTTCGTGGCTTCGGGCTGCAAAGTGGAGGCTTTCGCCGTCCAGGGAGCAGATCTGTGCCAGCCACGTTGTGCCTTCTCCACGCTGGGCAGAGTCCTGCGCATGGCCTACAGTGAAGCCGGTGAGGAGAGGCTTTGGGGCGGGGTTTTGTGTGGGGAAGGGGCGGGTGCTTCTACATACATGCTGCTGACAATCTGTCGGTTCCGGCAATTAAGCGCTGAAGGCGCTTTGTGCAGTTGTCATAGCAACCACAGATTTTGAGGAGCGCCTTGTTGGAGTGCTTGCCTAGCTTTCCTGAAGCCTTCGGTCTGATCTTCTGCATCGCGTTGTTCAACTAGTAATCTCAGCACCTGGGAGGTGGAGGCTGGAGGATCAGAAATTTAAGGTCAACCTCTGTTATTTAGTGAGTTCCGGAGTAGCCTAGGCTACCGGTAATCTTGTCTCGAAGCAAAGCAACACAAACACCCCACACAGGCATGGGTGGGCCTTCAGTGGGAACAGAACGCTGACTTCCACGTCTTGAATTAAAGGCTTGAGGCTGGGTTCCACTTATGCCAGACCCATAAAACAAACAAACAAACAAAAAACCAAACAAACAAAAATGTAAGAAGAAATCTCAAACCTCGCACAAAAGAAAGAGGGAGAGAGAATGATAGCCTGAAGTTCACGGACCTCAGAAGTTATTCCAAATCATAGCCAGCCCTTTAAGTCACTTCTGTGTGGTTTAAAATTCTTACATTCTGGTCTGATTTTTAAAAATTCTTAAATACGTTGTGTCTGTGCATGTGTGTAAGACAAAGACATAGGCTGTATAAAATGTCCCTCTTTCAAAGGGACATTTATTCCAAAATTTGAGGCAGCAGGCATTATAGAAGGCAGTTTTCTTGCCTGTCATTGGTGTTGATTCCTGGGATCCTTGCATGGCTACTACTTGTGTCTAAGAATCATTTAGAAAGCATTAAAAAAAAAAAAAAAAAGCCCCCATTCCTGGGCCACACATTCGGAAACACTGTTAAGTTTCCTTGGAGTGAGGCTGACATTGCAGTATATTAAATGCTTGTCTGGGTTGGATACTAATGACTTGAGCCACAATGACTGCAGGAGGCTAACACTAAACTGTGATAACCTCGTTAATGAAACCTTGAAGAACAAACATGCTTTTATAATCAAACTGGGTGCCTTAAAAAACTTGAGGAGTCATGTGGTATGGCATTAGCATCATGAACCATATAGCTCAAAGGTAGCTTTCAGTCCACAGTTGAACTTCAACGTCTGAGTGTAACTTCTTTTAATTCATGCGTGACCAAACATTAATACACTGACTCCTGGCTTTGCCTATGTCCAGAAAACCTGTCTTTGACTTTTCCTTTGGGCTCTTTTTCGTATTCTCAGTTTGTGGACCTGGGGATTTGTGTTCTCAGTGCCCAGTATCCTCTGCTGTAGCAAATCTCCCCCTTGTAAAAAAGCCAGGATAACTTGTGTATTTATATTTACTATAAATGTTTTCTAGGTCTTCTACCAAGCAGAAAGCATTTTCTTTTATTTACTGTCATATCCAACGGAAACACCGATTCTCAAACTCCAAAAGACAGTCCATATATCCAGAAATTAGCTCATCCAGTACTTTTGGGGAGGAGGGGGAGATTTCTGGTAGTTAGATAAAAGCCAGAATTCCTCAGGAACTTGTGAAGCTGGTTCCAAGCGAGTCATTATCCTTACCTCCAGCAGAAGGGATCTATGGTTCTCCAGTTAACCTGTGGTACCTATCAGCATACCAAGGTCCAGGCTAGCCTCCTTACCTGTTACATATTTCAAAGTTTATGCTAGTATTTTAGGTCCTTACCTTCTTCTCTACCCTAAACTCCTTCCAGCTTGTGGGCTTCCCTTGCCACAGCTACTTATTCCACTTATAACCTGGCTGTTCTCTGCTCTTGCTGGTCTCACTATGCTCCCTCTGTTTGCTACCCACTGCTGTTCTCTCTCTTGCAGATAGCCCTGGCCATGTCCAGTCAGCTGTGCATGTTGAGTGTGCTTCTTTCTCTTTCTGCTCTGGACTCTGCCAGATCTTCTGGCTGTTCTTTCTCTTACTCAATAAAACCTTCCCCTTAACCATACTATTACTGAGTGGTCATGTCATGTTGGCAGTTTTCCTTCAGCTCCTGCCTGCCTTGCCAGTATACATAAGGTGTTAAAACCCTCACATACACTTACTAATCAGTCAAATGTTGTTCTCCTTTTGTAAAATGTGGACACTATGTAAGTCAGCCTTGGGGTCCCTGTGTGCAAATTTCTGACATAAACAACTTGAAAGAATATAGATTTATGTTGTTTATAGTTTGAGAGGACTCAGTTCACCATGTTATGGAGGGCTTATGTCCTGGTGACCAGAAAGTAAAGCAGTAACAGGAAGGGACTAGGGCAAGATAGAGTTCTCAGATGTCCCCTCTCCAACAGCGATCTTCCTCCCAGATGTCTCCGTCTTCTAGCCAGACTCCCTTCTATAGTTCTACTCCCAGCACACTAAAGTTTTCAGGATCTAAATTTACCAGTGGACTGATGCATTGATTAGGTCAGAGCTCATGATCTAGTTATTTTTGGAAATGTTCTCACAAGAAACAATCAGAGGTGTGCTCTAAGGTGTTTCTTGGTTCAATCAAATTGAAATGATGAACTATTACAAGAACATTAAGGAGAAAGTAGGTAACAATATAGAAGGTAGGTTTTGAGCTTTTAACATCATCAGGGATAATGGAAATTGAATTTAGGCTGCATATGTGATGTGAAAAGGAGGGATAACCAACAGACAGAGAGAGACCCAGTGGCCAGTGCAGTGTTGAAGGCCCTGTTGCTGGACATGTGTTTATGAGGGTGGTGGGGCAGGAAAGTGAAGACCACACAGCTCTCCTTGTATATAATAAACCAGCACAAGTCATTCTTGAGCACTTTAGCACAAGTATACTGAACCAGTGACCGTTGTCCACCCGTCCCATCTGCCCCCATCTCTATGCCTATATTTAATGATGCACCAGGCACATACTTTCTTTTTAAAGTTAGGTCCTCTCTTAAAAGGTTATACGGAACCCTATAGAATTTTATTTCCTTTCCAACAGTTTGAAGAATGAGCATAAGACTTTGGACTAGTTAGATCCATCATTTGTTGACTGTTGCCTTAGGCAAGTTGCTGTTAATAACACTCTGAGCCCCAGAGTGCTGAACTATAAAATTGGAAGGAAGATATTTTCCTGAAGGGCTCTTATAAGGATTTACAGAGAACTTTAAAAGTGGGCTCATGAGGCTTGCTAAGTAGGCATGCTTAGCAAGTGCTATTACAGCATTTACAGAACAAGTCATCAATCTGAAATCATGCAATACAATGTGGATATTACCTATAACTTGCAGACACATCATTTCATGTGTGGACATTATATATATATATATATATATATATATATATACCCACACCCACATACATACATACATATACACATACATACATACACACATATACATACATATATACATACACACATATGTATATATATAAGTTAAAAACTTTTATTGTAACTAAAGAGATTTTCTTATTTTAAAATGTCAACTTAAAAATGCTACCAAAAGAATATGGCAACAAAAGAATAGTAGATGAATCGGACATCACCAAAATTAAAGATTTTTGTGCATATATTCTACCAATAGATGGAAGGGGCTATTCAAAGAATTTGAAAAAATATTTATAAATCATGTATTTGATAAAGGAATGGTATCTAAAATATATAATAAATTGATTTGGTGGTAGAAAAACATTAATTAATTTTTTTAATGAACAAGTGGAACTGGAACTGGGGTATACAACCAAGTGCCAGAGCACTTGCCTAGCACACGCGAGGTGCTGGGTTTGATCCCTGGCAGTACATACATAGCAAAGGACTTGAATTCTCTGAAGAAGACATGCAAATGTCCAAAAGCACACAAAAAGAGGCTCCATATCACTAATCCTCAGGGAAATGCAAATTAAACTCACAGTGATATACTCAAAACCCATAGTACAGTTCTTATTTTAAGATTATCATAAAGTAGCTAGATGTGATGGAATAAATATAAGCACTCAAGAGGCCAAGGCAGGAGGATCTTGGCAAGTTTGAGAACATCCTGGGCTATGTCATGAGTTTAAGGTGAGACAGGGATATGTAACATGCATGACTCCTGAGATGGTAGGAAACAGGCATGTATAAATAGTTTTGCTGGCAGTCTGAATTTCTGTTATCTAATTATGGTGGTAACTTTCCAGTTTCTAATAAAGTTTAAAATATTCTTGATCTGTAGCCCAACATAAATTTCCAACATAAAACAAATTATATAGGTATAGGTTTATTTGTTACAAAATAAAGTATAATAGGTAATCCCCCTACATCAATAGGAGAATTATTAAATAGCTATGGCACATGTGTATATAGGATATTTTATAGATATTAACATATCTGTATGCTCTGTTGGGATGGTGGATGGTGGATAGCCATGTATCAGCTTGGAGGAAAAGATTTATTCATTGTTCAAATAATTGCAAGTGGTTTCTATTGCATGTTTATGCTGTGTAGTTACTTGGATTTTTTTCCCCCAAGAAAGTTGCTAACCTGTATACTTGAGGTTGTTAATTCATAAGACAGGTATTGTTATAACAAAATGTGATTATTAAGTTAAACATGAATTTAAAAGTTACAGATTGTTAAATATCGAGTTAGTGTGATATAAAAAGAAGACAAAAAGCCTTTCTGCGACCCAGGTTTATATGAGAGAAAGTGTTTGGAAGGTCAACACCAGACTGTGTGAACATTAGTCCTTAAGGATGAGACTGAAGGAGGAGGTCATTATGCTTTCTTTTTGTGCTTAACCATTTTGGTTTCTACAACAAATGTTACTTTTATAGTTAAAACAATTCAATATAATCACTAGTTAAAAGAATATTAACTTGAATTTATATTTTATTTGGTATCTCTAGTTTTATCCTACTTTTCAGAGTTGTGACTTATGTAGCAAGAGAAGGAAATGTCAAATGTAAATTCTGTTAAACTCAGAGTCCCTTAGTTCTTACCTGAATTTTGTAAGTTACGTGTGGGGGCCCGTTTTCGGGTTCCTCGTGGCTTTACCCAGCAGGTCCGCATAGAGGATGATCAGGACCACGGGCCTGAGTTCAGGTGTCTGAGATGGCCTGCACTTGGCTGTGCTGGGGGAGGAGGTCTTTTGCTCCACCCCTTGGCGTCTCTATAAAAACCCTGGGCCAGAGACAGTCGGGGCCCGTTGGAATAGGTTCCAGGCCCTCTCGAGGCTATCCTTTATTTTCTATCTGTTTATCTCCCCAAGATTCTCTGCTATAAATCCTTCTATCTAATATTTCCTGCTGATTGCACTCAAGAAAACTCTGGGTAACTGTGGGGGTGGTGGGTAAACGCCCCACAGTTACACTAATGTTGCTGCTGCTTAGTTAGTAGACCTTTCAACTGTGATAAGAGTTAACAGAGGAAAATGGAAAGTTTTTTTTGTTATATGAATAGTAAAGGAGTTGTTGTAAGACACTGAGATGGGAAGAGACTGTATTTCAGAACTTCTGTGACTGATGTGACAACACACACCTCTGTCACTTAGATGGCAGCTTTGTTCCTTTGAGTCAGTTATGCATCTGAGTCATGTTATACATTCCATTTTCAGGCAGCAAAGTAAGTGGTTGGATTTCTAATTTCAAATTCTAAATGCATTTTTGTTTCCTTTTCTAGGAGACTATCTGGTAGCAATTGAAGAGAAAAACAAAACTATATTCTTGCGTGCTTACATGAACTGGAGGAGTAAGAGGAGTGAAAATTCCCGTGTGTGCATTCGAATGGTTGGGCACAATGTGGAGGCACCCTTCTGTGAAAGCTTTAAAGACCAAATGTCTATCATTGAAATGCCATTGTCTGAGGCTCCTTTATGCATTTCATGTTGTCCTGTGAAAGGAGATCTACTTGTTGGCTGCACAAATCAGTTAGTCCTATTTACTTTGAAGTACTGGATCATTAATGAAGAATTCTCAGTGTTGGACTTTGAACGTTCATTAATTATACACATAGATAATATCACTCCTGTTGAAATTTCTTTTTGTGTTGGGTATGTCGCTGTCATGTCTGATTTAGAAGTCTTAATCCTAAAACTGGAGTCAGATCCTTCAAAGGGAGAGGGAGTTAAACACCACCCACAAAAAACCAACAACCAGTTGAAACAGATGGAAGGTAAATGATGAATTTGCCTTTCTAAAGAACCCTAGTATCTATGGTTTGCCACTATTCTTATAGGTTTAGGTGTTCCTGTCACATTGGTTTGGGTTTATAACTATCCATAGCTTATTCTGTTTCTACATATATTTGTCAGTATGTGAGTAATGGAGCAACTGCCATTAGATGAGGGGTTTCTAAAGAGAAAGCAGTTGGTGTTCTTTTGTTGAGATAGGATTTCAATATGTCCCTGGCTGACCTGGAACTCACTTGGCTCAGGCTTGCCTCAAACTTGTGGTCTTCCTGTCACAGGCTCCTGAGTGTAGTCATTATAGTTGTGAGTCCCTATGCCTGGCCTACATGACTTTCTAATTTTTATTGTCATTAAATTTGATGTTTAATGACATTGGATAACATTGTCCTGGTTGCCTTTTTTTGTTCCCCAACTTGCCACAGGCTAGAGTTTTTAAAGAGTGAACTTTAATGGAAATAATGTCTCCATAAGGCTGACCTGGGGGGGGGGCATTTTCTTAATTATTGATGTGAGAGGGCCCAGCCCATTGTGGGTGGTGCCACCCCTGAGCAGGCGGTCCTGGGGTGTATAAGAAAGCAGGCTGAGCAAACCATGGGGAACAAGCCAGTAAACAGCATTCCTCCATGGTCTCTGAATCAACTGCTACCCAGAGTTCCTCGCCCTGACTCCTGCAGTGATGGAGTGAGATCTGAGAGTTGTAAACTGAAATAAAACCCTTTTCTGACCAAGTTGCTTTTGGTTATGATGTTTTATCACAGCAGAAACATAAGTCACAAGCCATGCCTAATGTTCATTCAGGCGGATGGTAGTACTTATAGTTGCTAAACTCTAAAATGTTATTTTTTAAGATATCAGTAATGACACTTCACGGCTTGAATCAGAGGATTTTGTTATCTGCCTAAAACCCATGGAGCTTTTTGGTGAGAAGTGTGAACAGTCGGGAATATCTGTTAAACTGGAGTCCACAGGATTAGCTGATGAAAAAGTAAAATATTTAAGTGTTCAGCACCTGCTATATAGGTATGAGAGCACTTTTTATTCACCAGGATTTAATATTTATGTGCCTGCTTAAAGTGTATGGAAATTAGATTTGTCCTCTTTCTCTTCTTAAACTACAGACGTTTTGCTCCTGATATTTCATTCTGTGTCTTGTCTGATAACATCAAGTTACATTCCCTTCAGCTGCTACCAATTCACCAAACAGGTAAGTATGGCTGAGCTGCCTTGCAGAGAGGTGACAAGGCCCTGGACTGGAGGGGAGACCCGTATGTAGACAGACATTAGATTTGGTTCTCCTACTCAGTCTTCTGAGGAAAGGAAAGTCATATTGGCTAGGAGAAGTGAAGCCACTAGGAGAATGTGACCAGAAAAAAACTTAATTCTTTTGTTGTTATTGTTTTTGAAGTAGTCTGTAGGCCCAATAAAAGAAATTTGTGAGCACTGTTGGAGCTGAGTAAGTGACAAAGTTTTTTAGGATGAACCTGTAATCAAGGTGGGAAAACTTGGTTTGAGCTGAAATTCATTTGAGTACTACTTTTCAACAGTGCTGCACATTACATTTTCCTGGATACTTAAAAATACTGTTAAGGAAGATTTAGCTCAGTTGGTCAGGTACTTTTCTAACATGAATAAAGTCTGGGTTTGATTCCTAGCACTGAATAAACAGGATGTGGTGATGTACACATGTAATCTCATCACTTGGGAGGTAAAGGCAGGTAGGGTCAGAAGTTCAAGGTCATCGCCTAACGAGTTCTAGGCCAGTATTGGCTACATGAGGCCCTCTATTGAAAAAATGCTAGTGATTCTGATTCAGACTTATTGGACTGTTTTGGACTCTGGCACCCGCATCTGGCACCAGAAATCTAATGAGCACCAAGATTGAGACCGGTAGGCTCTGCACTCACTCATGGCCTGTTCAGCATCTTCAGATGGTTTCTGGGAAGATGTAAATGTTGTTGTAATCCAATGTCTTAATAACGTTATTTTTTTTAAGTAAACATTCAGTAGCTACTGTTGTTGATAATTGTTGAGTACAGAACAAAAGTAGGCAGCATGCTTGCACCTATGAACTTAATTATCTGATGGTAAAAGCAGATACTCATTAAATACTGACAAAATTGTGGTGTGGACAGCATGGCAACCATTGCTGCTTGACAAACTTCCAGCATTTCGACATTGCAGACCACAATTATCCAGCACCTTTTTACTTTCATTTTTAATGATTCTCACTATGTGTTATGAGAGTTCCCTTTTCCTTTGGGAAATTTTGCATGGACTTTGAAGGATGAAAATGCATAAAATGGCAGGTCCTTTAAACAAAATAATTCTTTTGGAAAAATCCCTGTCATCGAGGAACCAGGAATCCCATTATGCCCTCCAAATTACACCAAAAACATTTACTAGATACACCTGATACACCAAGCATGAAACACCTACAATCCAAATTCAGAGCGTGAGGTCATTAAGGGCAAGAGTTCAATTTATAAGGTATAATGGGAAAAGAGTAAGATATCAGGACCTTCCTTTTTTGGAGCTATGGGGGTAACAGACCCATATAGTAAGACTAAGACACAAAGGGACACGATTAGAGAACAGCTCAGTGGTTATGCCCTTGAAGAATGAGAATTGCTCTTAAATTGTACTGGAGTGTCTGGTCCCCAGAGGAAGTCCTTTTCCCAAAATCAGGCATTTGGATAAGGGTCTCCATTCCCTCTAGGCCTTGAGGCAAATTCCTGCTTGCTAATAGCAGTCATTCTCCTTATCTCTGGCAGGAGGAACTTGTAGCCCTTCCTTGATGTAAGAAGGTTCCTAGTAGAGTTACTGAACATATGAGAACAATAGATATTTAGATACTCACTGAATTTTCTGTCACTGAATCATTGAGTCTGCTTTCAATCTTGCCTGTGACTAAACTGTTTAGTACAAAAAGTGTATGTATTCCTTTTCTAATAAATGCTTCTGGCAGCCATCCTGATTTACCCTCAGATCATGTCTCCTCTCCTCCCTTTCTCTGCTAACTCTACTAATCTTCTTTGGGACCTGAACCTCCTACCCCTCTGAAGCAGGTCACAGGCAAAATTAGACACTGAAATAGTGCTCTATAGGAAAAAAAAACCCTGGTAGCAAAAGCCTGTAGCAAAAGACCCTTACTTTCTCTGGGGTCTAGGAAGGCTGCTTCCTGAGAATGGATGACTCTTGGATTTAAATGGGTTCAGCAAAGGGAGGAGAAGAGAGTGTTCTAAATAGAGGAAGCCCCAAAGCTGAGCAGAGAATCTGTATTTGAGGAACTGAAAGAACCTAGTGGAGTAAAGGAAAGGGGGATGTGATACAAGACTGGAGACCAGACAGGGACAGTTGCCAGTCAGAGGGGCAGCTCTTTTCATTCAATGAACTTCCCATAACAGTTGGAATAAAAAGTCTCAATCGTTCCATAGCCAATGTGACCTAACTCTGGGTTCATTTTGTCTCAGCTTGACTTGCTTACTGTTTTCTATCCACAGTAGCCTTTCTGCATCCCTCAGATATGCCAACTAGTCTTTTCTGTAAAAGCTATTACTTCTTCTACGTAGACCTAGAATGTGCTTTCTTCAGATCCCTCGTGAGTGGTTTATTCATATCGTTTAGTGCACAGCTCAGATTTCACCTTATCACAGAGGACTTCCCTGGTTCTTTCAGTTTGACTTACTTTTATTTTTATTTATGTGGGTATGTGTGTATCTGAATTTGGATTTTTGCATGTGAACATGGTTCTGGCAGAGGCCAACAAAGATGTTACAGGTGGTTATGAGCCATCCAACTTCGTTGCTGGGAGCTGAACTCAGGCCCTCTGTTAGAGCATCAGTTAACTGCTGAGCTGTCACACAGGCTCTTGGCTCTTTCCATTCAATAATCTCTCTTCACTTTAGGATTTACTTGTTTTTTCCCTGTCCCAATTCCCATCACTAGAATGCAAGGCTCTGTGAAAGAAGTCACCTTGTTTTGTGTATTGCTATCTCCCTAGAACCTTGAACAGCAATACTGCAGCAGGCCATAGGAAGTATTTATTGAATAGACAAATGACTGTAGATGTGTGGTCTATATTTGAGCTGGGTCAAAGGTTGAGTGGTTGTTTTAGAAGCTGAAGAATTTGGTTAGGTATTTTATAAGAGGAACCAACATATGTAAGCTGTAACATTGTCATGTGCTTAGAGATAAGTTCTGTTCAGCTAGAGCTCAGATGTGTACCAGAAAGAAGAAATGGAAATGGTTTTGGGCTAGTTGTGGAAAATTCAGAATTGGACTTTTAGTATCATAGAAGGAGGAAGAAAACTTTAAAAAAAAACCTCTGGTTATGAAAATTTGAAACTTATTTAGATAGTGAGAAAATAGTAAAACAACCCCCCATATCTCCATTAACAGCTTACATATGACAATATCCTGATCCATTCCTAGTTATTTTGATGACTGTTTTAACATCTATACCTTTTCTCTGTCAATATTTCTCTAAACAGGATCAGGATGTTTTATTTTAAATGAATTCAAAATACTTCTCATGTAAAAATTCCAAGATGTCATCAGATATCTTTTCAGGGTTCCCATTTTCTTGATCCTCTAAAGATTTTTTCCCCCTACAATTCATTTGTTTGAATGAGGTACATAAACAAGTTATATTTATGCATCTTGGTTGATTTCTGTGTCTTATATGGGATCAGCCTTTTCTTTTTCTCTTTGCAGTTTCTGTAGCAAGAAATTGGACATTTACTGTAAAGCTCCCTATAATCTGAGTTTTGCTGATTGAGTCCTCCCAGTTGACTGAGTCATGTATCAGGTCTCTGTTGTACCCACTGTATTCTTGTGTTAGTTAGTCATTATGTCTCAGTCTGTGCTTTTTAGTACATTATTAGCTATAAGTTGCCCTCAAACATTTGAAATATAGCTAATAGAAACTGATATATACTGTAAATATAAACCACAGACTAGATTTTGAATGTTTAATACTAAAATATAAAACACTTGTTTTTTGTTTATTGCTTGTTGAAAGGCAATGTTTTAGACATGATAGATTACTGGACAATATTACTAAAAACTGTTTCCTGTTTTACTTTTTGGAAATACTAGAAAATTTAAGTTCCAGGTATGGAATGATTATGTTTTTATTGGCTGTGTTGATGTAGACTCAGGCTTGATCAGGATATTATTATTTGTTGCGCAAGTAGTTCTGTTGTCTCTTGGAAAGGCTGTGGTTCCTGGTGGACAATGCAATATTAATAGCCATCGATGAGTGTTGTGACTTATGTTGTTGCAAGATGGTGTTTTCCTAATTATGTCTTCCCTTTTACATTTCTTACTATTCACTTCCCCTTATCATCTCTGTGGTCTCTGCTACAGTCTAGTCTGATACAGTTTAGTCTGTCTAGTCTGCATAGGAAAATCATGATATTGATTCTCTCCTTTTATTTTCTGGCTTCATGGCATGTGTCTCTTGCATTTTTCCAATGCAGGTTTTGCTCCTGATGGAAATGGTTTGTCTCAAGAAAAAGAGCTGCTGAGTCTCTTCTGTTTCTTCTCATTACCTCATGTGGGCTATCTGTACATGGTTGTGAAATCTGTTGAGTTAATGTCAGTCTATTGGTATCCTGAGAAGTCTCAGCAAGCAGTGCTCACACCACAGTTTTTGCACGTCATCACAAGGTATGGGTCCAGTGTTGCTTCTTGTTCTCTGACTCACTTGTTTTCAGTACATTTTCAAGCTGCTGCTGAAATCTTTGAGAATTTTAAGCCTGTTATAGTGGTCCTGTTAATGTTAAAGGTTTAGGCTCTGGCTTTGCCATCGTGGTGCTCCCTTAGGTTGGATGGGTGGCCTTGTAAAATCTAAAGTTCTCAATGAAGCCTTTCAGAGAATTTTGACGAGTGGGGGACAGTTGCACATCTCTTTAGATTCCCTTTCTGTGCCTCATCTCATGGCCACTATCTCTTCTCAGTGTGAACTGAGTCATTTCATAATGGTTTAGAACCCAGAACAGCCAGAAATATCTGATTCTGTTCCTCAATTAATAAATCTGGTGAAGCATTCATAGGGAGGTGGAGATTTGTCATCATGTGACTAGTGGGTAGCAGGGTAGTCCTGGCCTTACATACTAGAATATAAATTGATCTCTTTCTCTCTCTCTCTTATCTTTTTTCTTTTTTTTTATAGCATAATTCTTTATAGATTCTTTGGGAATTTCACATCATGCACCCCAATCCTGATTACCTCCCCATCCCTCCATATCTGTTCCTTACCACTGCAGCATCCCTCCCCCAAAAGGAATTCCTCCCAAAATTAATTTAAAAAACACAAAAAACAAAAAACCCTCCTTGCTCTTCCATTTTTTCCCTTCTCTCCAACACCTCTTCATTTGTCCTAGTGACATTGGGAGCTGCGGTGTGTCACACAGTACACCCTTTTGTCCAGTCAGCCCCACCCACAAATGTTCCTTGCAATGAGTCATTGATCTGGTTCAAGGCCTCTGGCACACACCCTCATGGAACTCCTCCCAGATGTCCTGCTATTGACCCAAGTCATGATGGAGTCCTGAATCTGTCATTCTGCAGGACTAATCCCTTCATGTGCTCCAGCAGGTCATAGATGGGGTAGATGTTAGGGTGGGCCAACCCAAGGCCCAGGGTGTGGGTCTGATTGGTAGCTGAACTGGTCAGCCTGGGCCTCTGGGCCTCTTCCCCTCAGGCAAGGTGTGGAGCCAGCTCTTCTAGGCCCATGCCATTGGGGCTGGATCTCCCATGCCCATGATGAGGGGTAGGGCCATCTCTCCTGAGAATAGAGAGAGGGAGGGGCAGGCAGCTCTCCTGCTTCAGTGTCCAGTGAGGAGCAGGGCCAGCTATCCCAGGGCCAGCAAAGGATGGGGCTGGCCCTGCATAGCTCCTGGATTTCAATACCCAGATCATTTTGGCCCTGGCAGCATCATGGCCCTCGAATGCCAGTAACTTGGATGGCTGGTCAGACCCCAGGCATCTTAATCAGCCCTCAATGGTAACAGGAGCCATGGACATCAACTCAGACCCTGGCTGATGTAGGACCATGGGCCCTACTCTGTAGGGTGTGGGCCTGGTTCCAGCAGTTAGGGCAGTCTGGCAGTTGGAGGTCGTTGGTGAAGGGCCTTGGCCACTCATGTGGCTCAGAGGCTTAAAACTGATAGAAGGAAGATGATAAAGGCTGTAATCCAGGTTTTCAGAAATGTCCAATAGTTAACTGCCCACAACCTTGATTTTTGTTTTAATTTGGTGAATGTATCAGAATTCCCAGAGGGTGCTAAGAGTATATTTAAACAGTACAGAAACCACCTTGGGATTCTGATGTCCATTTTTAAACAGACTTCTCCCTGGCACAGTGGGAGTGTCAGAACACAGTCTAAGAATGGAGCCGTGTGAGTAGAATTCTGAATGCTTGTGAAAAAACTCCAAGAACACAAGACAAGAGGAATTTACCTACTAAATTTGTACCTGTGTTACTTCTCATGTCATTATTGTGACAGAATGCTCAACAGAAATATCTTGAAGAATTGATTAGGCTCTTGGTTTTAGAGATGTCAATGAATTTGGTGAGGAGTATGTAGCAGAGATGCCTTTTGCATCATAGCTGATGGGAATCAGAAGAAGAACTGCTGGTGTTCAGCAGGCTTTCTCACTTCCCCCTTTTATTTTCTCTGGGCCACTATTCCAGAGGATGGACAGTGATGCTCTTGTGAGCTTTGAGGTTTCAAAAGATACAGGTGATTCTCAGTACTATCTCTATGCCTCATGGTTGTGAATTAGGAGCTCCCAGGTGTTCTTTCTCTTTGTCATCATAGACTCCAGTGCTCTGAAACCATAAGCCAAATTAAACTCATTAATTAATTAAAATTTTAGTTTTTCAAGACAGGGTCTCTTTGTGCAGCCATGGCTGTTCTGGAACTTGCTTTACAGATCAGGCTGGCCTGGAACTCACAGAGATTTGTCTGCCTCTGACCCCCAAGTACTGGGATTAAAGGTGTGTGACACCACTGCCCAACTAAACTCTTTTATCAGTTGCCTTGGTCATGGTGCTTTCTCACAGAAATAGAAAATAACTAAGGTAGACATTTTGAATATTTATCTTTTATTCCTTTTGTACTTCTGCTCAGTAATCTAATAGTAACAAATAAACAGGATTACGGTAGGTGGAAACAAGTCAGAGACCCTTGCTTTTGTCTCCAGAACCTAACAATCATTGACCTTTGTGTCATAGTTGCCCACTGTCATTCTAGACCCATGCAGATGTTGTTTGTGCCTCATTCTGTCAGGCTCTCTTCACATCACAAGGTTGCTTTCTCTGGTGTACATTAGTAAATGCTAGTGCTGGTATCCTAGTTTATGTGGTAGCATCAGAGATTATTTCCTGTAACTGTGGGAATGACACTTAACAGTGGTGTGAGATGAAAATGGTAGCATTGAGAGCTGAGCAGAGGCCTGGCTGCATGCCTTGCCATATGAGGTACAGAGCACGGCTGAAAAGGTGCCACCACTTCCAGTTCAATGCTAGCTACTGTTTGGTTTGGTTTAGGTTTTTTTTTTAGACAGGGTTCTTCTTATCATGGAGCTCTGGCTATCCCAGAACTCACCATGTAGACCAGGCTGGCCTCAAACTCACAGAGATCTGTCTCTGTCTCCTGAGTGCCGAAAGGTATACAACACCCACCACACCTAGCCTTTTTCCCTAATTTTTAAGAGCTCATGTTTACTTCTCTAAGTTTCTAGTTTGTTTCCAATGTTATTCTTGCAAATCCTTTACAAGCTGAATTTGATAGTAATTTCTCAGTAAATAGCTTTTTAATCAATATTGCTATTGATTTAGATAACAGCAGATATCAGTGTGCCCTCAATCTGTCCTTTACCCTGCACAATGACCCTGGGGTTGTAGGAGATAGAGGAGTCAGGAGCCTTGTGTCTAGTTGGTTTTACTCTCTAGAAAGGTGTCAGCCAATATGAACTTTTCCAGTTTTCAAAGCAAGATGGTAGACAAGGCATTCTGAAGAGTCTTGTCTCATTTTCATTTTACCATTCATATGTTTGTGTAGTCTGAGTTGGTCATACTTCATAATCAAGGCTGAATTTTATTCTGAGATGATATGATAGGTGATAGGTATTTGAATCCCCTATAGTGGGTTTCTCTGCTGATGCAATAAGCCAGATCAAGCCAAATTAAAAGTCCACGTTTAATGAGCTAAGCACTCTCAAGCCCCCTAGAAGTGAGGTGGGGGGGGGGGAGGAGAAATCATGAGGCACATCTAGGGGCAGGGAGATTAAATAACCTGTAGGTGTGCTCTTGAGCAGTTCCAGGGGAGGAGCTGCCTCTTGGTAGGCTTTCTGAGAGGGGCAGGGTTTGGAGAGGGAGGAGGGAGGTTGAGGCAGAGCTTCCAACTGAACAGTAGGCAGCAGTCAGGAAGCAGATTCTAATTCTGGCTTCTTGTAGTCAACCATTCATACTGTGAGCTACTGTTAGGGGCATTTTGCTATTGAGAATGTTGGTTCCAGCCTGGACAGCCTGACTCTTAAATGTGGGTATACATCACAGTCAGTGCTTGAGATTTCGATTCCATGGGAATGAGGTAGTCTATAAACATACCTCAGGGATTTCGCAGCACTATCCTTTCTAAGAACCAGACTAACTCACTATCCTGTAACAGATACTAGCATCATTTTCTGCCCTCTGCCATTGCTCTGTTTGCTGGTGAAGCCCTTTCCACCACGGTGGGTACATTGGTTCTTGGCCCCCCTCTTTGCTTAGTGCCATCTCTCTTCTTCCTTAGCCAAAGCCTCCAGTGTTTCACGGTGCGGTGCAGTGCAGCAGTGGCTCATGAAGAGGACCTGTACATGGATACTACGTTGAAGGTTAGAGCTGACTTCTGATGACAGTAAAACACTGAGCTCAAGGGAGGGCATAAATGCTTCCAAACTTGTTCTTAGACCTAAGCTTGGAAAAGACTATAGGCCCAAAAAGGCCTTATTCATTGTGCTGGCTAATTTTATGTCAACTTGACACAGGCTAGAGTCATCTGAGAGGAGGGAAACACAATTGAGACTGCCTCTATAAAATCAGGGTATAGGCAAGCCTGTAGAGGAGGATTTTCTTAGTTAGTGATTGGTGTAGGAGGACCCAGCCCATCATGGTGGTGGAGGGTATCCCTGTGCTGGTGGTGGTCCTGGATTCTATAAGAAAGCAGGCTACTAATGAAGCCATAGGAGCAAGCCAGTAAGCAGCACTTCTCCATGGTCTCTGCATCAATTCCTGCCTGCAGGTTTTTGCCCCTCTTGAGTTCCTGTCCAGGCTTCCTTCAGTGATGAAAAACGTGGAAGTGTAAGCCAAATAAACTCTTTCCTCCCCATCTTGCTTTTGATCATGATGTTTCATTTTAGCAATAGTAGCCCTAATTAATACATTTATTAAAGTAGAAGTTCTGCATAGACACTAGTTAGTAAGCATTTCAGATGTGTGATTTGACAGTTTTTAAGATTGTTTCAATGTGTTTTAAAATGTTATGAGTAATAGATACAGTGTACCTTTAGAGCAGTTTCTCAACCAATGAGTCCCGACCCCTTTGACAAATTTCTATCTCCAAAAATATTTACATTATGATTCATAACAGTAGAAAAATTACAGTTATGAAGTAGCAACGAAAATAATTTTGTGGTTGAGGGTCAGCACAACATGATGAATTGTATTAAAGGATGGCGGCATTAGAAAGGTTGAGAACCACTGCTTTAGAGGCAAGTTTGTAACTATGACATATTTTTTGTCTTGTTTTGTTTTTAGTCTTTTATTCTCTCATATATCTCAACCACAGTTTCCCCTCCATCTCCTTCTCCCAGCTCCTCCCCTTCACCTCCTCTCTATAACACCAATTGCTAAAATGATCTTATTAATAAAAAACCCAGAGCCAGATATTGGGGTAAAAGCTGAGAGATCAGAGAAATAGAACAAGCCAGCCACAAGTTCTTACTGCTAGGAAATCTTCAGCCCAAGAGAGAGCTACTTCCTGTATACTCACGGCAATATACCTTTCTGTGCCCTGCCATCTTTTTCGTCGTCGTTGTTGTATTTTTTGTTTGTTTGTTTGCGAGACAAGGTTTCTCTGTGTAGCTTTGGAGCCTGTTCTGGAACTCGCTCTGTAGACCAGGCTGGCCTCAAACTCACAGAGACCCACCTGGTTTTGCCTCCCGAGTGCTGGGATTAAAGGTGTGTCCTGCCATCTTACTTCTTCTCTCTGCCCAGCTACATTACTTCCTCTTTCCACCCAGCTCTATCACTTCCTATCTGTCTGTACAGACCCCCAGACCTCTATGGTTAACTAGTGCTGGGATTAAAGGTCTGTGCCACCATGCCTGGCTCGGTTCCCAGTGTGGGCTTGAACTCATAGAGATCTGGCTGAATTCCTGCCTCTTGAATGCTAAGATTAAAGGCATGTGCTATCACTGCCTGACCTCTGTGTTTAATATAGTGGCTGGCTTTATCCTATGATCCCCAGGCAAGCTTTATTTGTTAGAGCACAAATAAAATACCACCCATTTTCCCCCTTTTTGTCTAAAATAAAAAAAAATTATAACTAATATAAGAAAAATTATATACAATAAATACAAAGCTATATACAATATATACAGGGAATAAATACATCAACAAAGTGTAGTCCATTTGCCTTTGACAAATTCAGTGAAAATATTCCATTATCTATACTATTTTGGTGAGTCCAACATGTATCTATTCATTTTCTATCCTAACTTGTGTTACCAACTGAAAACTGTCTTTTGATGTCTTTCAAACTTACACACTTTACACTCTTCAAGTTTCTCTTCGAATTTGTTAATAAGGAAAACTATAACTATCTAATCTTTAACTCTCTCCAAGATTCGAGAAGGGAATGATGTTACCTAGTTAAACAGCAAGTGCAAACAAGTGACTTCCAAAAAAGGTGAAGAGTGACAGAAATAGCTAGCTGCCTGGACAGTCACCTGAGGTTTCTCTGCAACATTGGGGCATCCATTTTAAGCCTACAGACCTAGTATATCTGACATAATCATCTGTGAAGTAGGATTTTCTAAAGAGCCTTCCTTCCTTGTTTTGGTAAGGATCAGCAGTGATTTCTTTTGTGTTCTGCTTGTCCATTTTGCCTGCAGTCCAGGCAAGCACAGTTTCTTGGCCAGTGGCTAACTTTTGCCACAATGAAAGTAATCTCCAAAGGAGTTTCTTCAGTGCCCATCATCTTCTCGGAAGTAGATTGGTGCTGCCAGGAGCAGACATATCTCATTGTATGAAAAAAGAAAAAAAAATCTTATGTTATTAAAACATCTTAAATGCCATATTGTGCAGATCTCTGAAGTGTTTGAAGATGACCTGTCTATCTAAAATATATCTCTATTTGATTGAAAACATATCTCATATGACTACAGGTTCGATTGTAATGACTAACTACTAACCTGCATTTTTTTATTATCCTAAATAGTCGGTAATATCTTTCAAGGACTAGCAAATTACATTACTTTGTTAAATGAACTGTATAGGTACAACACCTTGAATAAGATTAGAAATATATGTACAGTATTTTCCAACAAAATCAATCTCAAATTTGTATCAATATACATATTTTGTATATATTATACAGAAATCCAATCCAATGTAAAATATATAAAACTAATAGTTGCTTTTTTAAAGTGGATTCAATAAACTACCTTTTTAATCTTATATCTATATCTTCCCTTTTCTTTTCAGAGTAGATTCAATAATCTACTCCTTTATCCTATTATTTCTATATCACTTTTTTTTCTGAAATAAGAACCCTGAGTCTGATCTCCTTGTTTAGCGTTTTTTCCTGACCATTATCAATTAACAACATGTAACCAACCATCCTAAACAATTACAATTATCCATAACCCATTGAAAGACCAAAAACCACCACTCCACCTTTTGGGAATGTGGGCATCATTTTCCTAAAATTACTTCCTGCTGTCTAGGGGCAACAATATCTTTAGGGGATCCTGAAAAGAAAAAAAAAATGGGTTAATTGTCAAGTTCTGAGAGAGTTAGCTGTATCATTTGTCCAGTCTCTGAATAATGAGAAAGTGCAGGGCTTGTCTCATTCCTTGCTCAAGTAGTCTGTGAGGCTGGATCATCTCAACTAGCCATCTTAAATTTGCCCTGACTAGTTTGTAGTCCAAAACCAATCATTGGGTGGTATTTGTCAGCTTAGTGGTATTATCATCACCCTGATGGAATCATTCTTGTGGGGCCCCATTATCTTTTTGGTGACTTCAAAGTCACAGTTAGATGCGATTGTGGTTCCCTTCAGAAAACTGATAGAAACTCAAACCCAAAATCATGTACAGGAAGCTAGATAAAGCCTTTTTTTTCCCTAGGATTAGTTATTACTCTATGTGTCCGTTAATATCATGACAAAAGTTTAAAAGTTTTAAAGAGTCAAAATAGAACCAAAAATTATGAGATTAGTCGCAATTGAATAGTCCTTTAATTTTGGGTATTTTTCTGTCCCAAATAAGATGGCTCTTTGGACAGGATACAGAAATTTTTGATTTTTTTTTTAATAAGTGTGGTTGGATTTAGAGAAGGAGCAAGCCACACTCCAACTCCAGATCCAGCTTTAATTTTTTAATTGAACTGGGACTACATAAAGACCATTTGCATTCTGTGTCTCTAGAGAAAAGCAGAAACAAACATTTAGGAAGACTTATGAAATTTTATCCAGTTAGATATGTGATATTGATAGGACAATTAAGTCTTTTTTTTGGGACATTTTTTTTTCTGGATGATTTGTCCTTTTCCTTCAGATGTCTCATTTGTCCATTGTTCTTCAGATTCTTTAGCCTTCATTCTCCTGAAAGACAAAAACAAAAACCCTTCACCAACACTGACTTTGGGGAGTTTCACTTTGGGCAAGTTGTATCTGATTAAATGGAAAGCATCTGTTAGTGTTATAAGTTAGTTTAAATTTAATGGTCATGCTATCACCTCTTCTAATTAAGAGGTCTCTCTTGTTTAAATTGAACCTTTATCAATTTTGATGGTATCCATAGCTTTTCTTCTCCTGTAGAAACAAAAACAAACCTCATCCAATGTCTCTCTGCAGCTGTTGTTCCTTTTTCATTAGCATTGAGAAAATTCAGAGTTGATAGAGCATTATGTAATCTATTTCTGGGGGCTTTTGCTACCCCTTTCTGTTTATTTAGCATATCCTTTAGAGTTCAATTTGATCTCTCTATGACTGCTTGGTCCCTAGGATTGTGTGGTATACCTGTAATATGCAAAAAACTTATTACAAAAAATAAGCAGAGACATATGTTGGGACATTGTCAGTTTTAATTTGTACAGGTATATATGATGGCCATAACGTCTAGTAAATGTGTAATTATAGAATCAGCCTTTTTGGAACTTAGAGCAGTTGCCCATTGAAATCCTGAATAGTTGTCAATAGTGTGGTGTACATATTTCAATTTTCCAAATTCTACAAAATGAAACTCTTCCATCTGCCAGATTTCATTCCTCTGAGTACCCTTTGGGTTGCATCCTGCTGGTAGTGGAGTTTGATTGTAAAAGAATAAGTAGGACATTTCCTTGGCTTGTTGCAAGGTTACAGAAAAATCCATTTTAAAAGCCTTACTATTGACATGATGTTTTTAATGAAATTCTGAGACCTCCAGCACATTTCCTATCAATAGTTTATCAATCTCATCATTGTCTTGTGCTAGAGGTCCTGGTAGACCCGTATGGGATCAGATATGAATTATATATAAGGGATGATTCCTATTCCTGATTATTTCTTGTAACTGAATAAATAACAAAGTTAATTCTGACTCATCAGGGATAAATTCTGCAGTCTCAATATGTAAGACCAATTTTTCAGCATACTGAGAGTCAGTAACTATGTTGAGAGGTTCCCAAAAATCCATTAATACCATCAGAGTGGCTTATAATTCCGATTTTTGGACAGAATTATAAGGACTTTGAACCACTTTACTTAAATTTTCTGATTTGTAACCTGCCTTTCCTTGTTTGTTTGTGTCTGTATAAAATGTAGAGGCTCCAGATATTGGTGTTTCCCATGCAATGTGAGACAGGATCCAGTTAGCTCTCTTTATATTTATTTCTATCTTTTTGGGATATTTGTTGTTAATTCTATCCCAAAAAATTACTGCAAGCTTTTTGCCAAAGTTCACTTTCTGCCCATAATTTGTCAATTTCATCATTCGTTACAGGTACTACAATTTCTGCTGGGTCTATTCCTGGTAATTGATTCACCAAATTTGCCGACAACAAGCCTTCAGATGGGAGGCTGACTGTTTCTGTGTAGAGCAGTAGTGGCCTGAGCAAGTTTCAAGGCAGCTACCTAGTGTGGTAGCAGCCCAAGATAGGGATCCAGAGAGAGCCTACAACGCACCAGGAGAAAAGAAGCCAAGGAGACTCCAGCACACGTGAGTGGAGACTCCAGCCACATGCAGCTTGGGCCTGAGCCAGAGGCCTGCAAGGCTACAGGCAAGCAGCTTTTTAGTGAATTCATGCCACAAACGTTGGTCACCACCAGATGTAACACAAATTGCTAAACAGTCTTATAAATAAAAAAACCCAAAGCCAGATATTGGGGTAAAAGCTGAAAGATAAGAGAGGCAGAGCAGCAGCCACTAGTTCTTACCCCTAGAAAATCCTACACTGAAAGAGAGTAAACTCTCTCTGCCCTGCCTTGTCACTTCCTCTCTCCACCAAGCTCTATCACTTCCTGTCTGTCTGTACAGACCTCCAGGCCTCTATGGTTAACTAGTGGCTAGCTCCTCCTTCTAATTTTCATGCAAGCTTTATTCATTAGAACACAAAGTATCACCACAGTTAGCAAGTAGGTGAAGTGATTGCGGGATTACTCAGTAGCATCTAGGGTTTTAGAACTGGTGAGGCAGTGGGGAAAGGGAGCCAGGTGTGAACTACCGCCTGCCTCTCATATCTCCACTGATGCTGTGCACATCACAAAAAAGTACAGAAAAATCTACAAATCGTAGTTTTCCCAGCAGATGACAGCAAAAAGTAAGCCAAGACAGCAACAGAAAACTACAGCACTACAGTCGAGCAGGTAAAAAATGAACCCACTCTGTTGGACACAGTCACTCTCCAATACCTGTTGATAGTACTGTGGTACCCATACTTCAGGCTCACTAGGCAGGACAAAACAGCTAGTTACTAACTAATATAATCATCACTAAGTAACAGCACCACCATTACCACCAAAAAAAAAAAAGGCACTCAAGGTAGATATAAAGTAACCTGTGAAAACCAGAACAGAATAATTTGGGGGCTACTTGCAGCAAGCATAATTGTTATGAATATTCATTCAATTAGCTTATACCTTAGAAGTGAAATAGCACATACTGTTATGCAGATGATGACTATATTATAGAGAAAAGAAATTCAAGGTCAGATGATCATCAAAAACTTGCCTACATTCAGTTGTATTCAAAGATTTTCTGATATTAAGGATATTCTCACTAAAAGCAAAAATGAAATTATTGATCTAACATATTAAGCTTTAAAGTATAGAAAATTGTCAAAGCCTTGGAAAATAAAGAATTGTATTCTGATGATAGTAAAAGAAACCACTTTTATGCACTACCTTCAATTGAACAAATTGCACAATACTGTTTTAATTTAATAGTTCTGTACAGTTGCTACAAATATGTCTGTTAAAAGCAAAACTATAGAACCAGGAATGGTAGTTCACACCTGTGAAACCAGCACTTGGAAGACTGACACAGGAGGACTGATCCATGTTGGAGGCCAGCCTGAAAAATAAGCATCTTCAGCAAATGATGCTGGTCTAGCTGGATGCTGGTATGTAGAAGGCTGCAAATAGATCCATATCTATCACCTTGCACAAACTCAAGTCCAAGTGGATCAAAGACCTCAAAATAAATCCAGATATACCGACCTTAATAGAAGAGAAAGTGGGAAATAGCCTTGAACACATTGTCATGGGAGACAATTTCATGAACAGAATACCAATAGTGCAGGCACTAACATAAATAATAAATAAATGAGACTTCATGAAACTGAAAAGACTAGAAAGACAAATATGGTATGTACTCACAAGAAGATATTAGCTATAAAGTAAAATATAATCAAGCTACAGTCACAAACCAGAGAGCATATGAAGCATGAAGGGCTCAAGGGAGGACATAAGGATCTCCCTGGGAAGGGAAAAGCAAACAGATTTTGTGGCTGGACTAGGAGAGAGGTGATAGAGCTGGGTAGAAAGAGGAAGTGATGTAGCTAGGTGGACAGAGGATATAGAAAAGTTTATAAGGCGTGAGTATACAAAAAGTAGCTTTCGTGGGCTGAGGATTTCCTAGCTGTAAGAACTTGTGAATAGCTTGTTATATTCCTCTCAGCTTTCACCCCAATATCTGGCTCCAGGTTGTTTTTTTTTTTTTTTTTTTTTTGGTTTTTCGAGACAGGGTTTCTCCGTGTAGCTTTGCGCCTTTCCTGGAGCTCACTTGGTAGCCCAGGCTGGCCTCGAACTCACAGCGATCCGCCTGGCTCTGCCTCCCGAGTGCTGGGATTAAAGGCGTGCGCCACCACCGCCCGGCTGTTTTTTTTTTTTTTTTTTATTATTATTAATAAGACTGCTTAGCAATTGTGTAACATCTGGTGAACCAACTTTTGTAGCACAAATTCACAAAAAAGCCTCTTGCCTAGGGCTCAGGCCCAAGCTGGAAGTGGATGGAGGCTCTACCCCATGTGGGCCGGAGTCTCTTTGGTTTCTTCTCTCCTGGTGGGTTATGGGCTCTCTATGAATCCCCATCTCAGACTGCTACCACACTAGATACCTGCCTTGAAACTCTCTCAGGCTTCTCCTGTTCTATGCGGTCGGCAGACTTGGTGAGTCAATTAAGATATCTTAAAAGGAGAAATTAGTTAAAAGAGAAATTTTTCTCCCACATTAAAAATGTGGGAAACATTTTTACGATGGAGGGAATTTGTTCTCTGTCTAATAACATATTAGGTGTTGTGAAAATAGAGCAATGAAATGGAAGGATAATTAATGTTGATGGTATTTGTATAATGTCAATTATGAATATTATTTGTTTGATTATTTTGTTTGATCATTAGAAAGGTTGGATAATTTGAGTGCCAAGATAAAAGTTTTAGAAAACGTTGTTAAAACAGATCATAGACATATTCAGACCCAGACAGAAGAATTTAAAGATGAACCTATCTCAGCATTACATTATATGGTTATAGAGAAACAGCCTAAGGCTTTCAAACAGCCAACCTTAATTTATCCAGTAACCTTACAGGAACTGCCAAATGCTCAAGGCTGTGTATGAGCTGATTGCACTGCTGTGCAAATGTTAGATTTGAGAATTTTCAAGGAAGCTATAGTCTCATATGGTATGCATTCTCCATTTGCAAAGCAGATGTTAAAATCATGATTAACTTGTAATAGAATTATCCCTCAAGACTGGAAAAATGGATACAGCTGATTTAGAGACTGGAACCTGGTTATAATGGAAGACATGATGGAAAGAGGAGGCTAAGACTATACAACAACAATGTAGGATTAGAGGTATAGAAATGTTCCAAGATCAAATTCTTGGAGAAGACAATTATGCTAATATACAAAGACAATCTTTACATGATGACCACTCCCTAGTTATATGCCACTTAGCAGCCTTGAATGCTCAGAACAGACCTGAAGAAGTAGGAAAGAAAACTGAGTCATTTACAAAGTTATACAAGGCCCAAAAGAAACCTTCACGGATTTCTTACAAAGGCTGTCTTCAGCAGTAAATAGAATAATATCAAATTCAGAAGCTACACAGATAATAATTGAATCTCTGACTTTTGAAAATGCTAATGCACAATGCAAAAGGGTACTTAGGCCATAAAAGGCAAGATCAGCACCCTTCAAGGAATGGATCCAAGATACAATTAATATTGAATCTCATGACCATGATGACACTTGGATAGGAGAGGTGATTTCCAGAGGTGTGAAGAAAAATAATAATGTCAGATGCTTTAACTGCAGTAAACAAGATCACCTACAAAGGGATTGTAAACAAGGTGTTTCTAGAAACAACATTTTTTCAGAAAACAATGGCAACAGAACACCACTCCCTTCTGGAATATGCAGAAGATGTGGTAAAGGCAAACATTGGACTAATGAATGTAGATCAACAAGGCACAAACAGGTAATCCTTTTTCTTTGCCATTAGGAAACTCCTTGAGGGGCCTCTTGCAGACCACCATGGCAAATTCAGTTCAATCCTTTCCTGCCATCACAGTAGAAATCCCTTTTCAGAGCAATTAAATAACCAAATGCCTATTGTAAAAAACCATACTGCTCAGGGTGATAGAACAGCTATAGGAGAGAGAACAAAAAGTTCAAGAGAAACCATAAAGTGAATATTTTGGCAAACTTCTATAAATGGACAAAGACCAAAATTAAAAATATGAATAAATGGCATTCTCATTAAAGGTCTTGTTGACACAGGTGAAGGCATAACAATAATTGCATCAGAATCTTGGCATCCAAATTGGCCTCTTCAGGAGGTAAATGTTCAACTGTTACGTATCTGAATATTATCTCAAGTGAAACACAGCGCAAGATGGGTCGAATGTATAGGGCCAGAAGGACAGAGAGGAAAATTAAAGTCATACGTGACTAATATAGCTATGAATCTATGGGAATGTGATTTATTACAACAATGGAATACCCAGATTAACATTCCTCCAACTTCAGAAACAAACCAGAAACTCACATATGTTTCTGAGAAGAATATAAGAAGGTATTATAAAGAACAGTTACTGACCATCTTGACTGTACAAGAACAGGGCACAATAGCTTCTGATTTTTCAAAGACACAAACATCTCTACCTTTAAAATGGTTAACAGACAATCCTGTATGGGTTCAGCAATGGCCTTTAACAACACAGAAAATACAGGCCTTAGAACTGCTGGTACAAGAGCAGTTAAATGAGCATATTAAAAAATCAACCAGCCCTTGGAATTCTCCTGTATTTGTTATTAAAAAGAAATCTGGTAAGTGGAGAATGGTAAAAGACATGATAGCAATTAACAAGGTAACTCAGCCAATGGGCTCTCTACAAACTGCAATTTCTTTGCCTATTCTATTGCCTAAAGGTTGGCTTCTTATAGTTATCAATTTAAAAAACCGTTTCTTATCAGTACCCTTACAAGAAAAAGACAGAGAAAGATTTGCCTGTACAGTGCCTACTAATAATTTTTGGCCAGTTAAGAGATATCAAATGGAAGGTTCACCCACAGGGAATGTTAAATAGCACAACCTTGGGCCAATATTTTGTATGACAGCTGTTGGAAGTAATATGTAAACAATTTCCCAAATTTATAATTTATCATTACATGGCCAATCTTTTACTAGGTGATTCAAATGTAGATACTTTAGAAAGAATGCTTGAAGAAGTAAAGAAAATTTTGTCTTGTTGGGGATTACAAATTGGTCTTGAAAAGATACAAAGAAGAGATTCTATTAATTATTTAGGATATAAAATATATAAGTCTACAAGAAATTATATAAAATATATAAGTCTACAAGAAATTAGTTTGCAAAAGGTGCAAATTAGGAAAGATAGACTACAGACTCTTAATGACTTTCAAAGTTTATCAAGAGACATTTCCTATCTACAGACCACTGTTGGAGTAAAAGGATGAACTGAGTAATTTGGTCAAATTCTTAGAGGGTGACAAAGACTTAAATAGTCCAAGAGAATTATCAGGTGAAGCCGAGAGAGAATTGGCTTTGGTGGAAAAGAAAGTACAAGGTCTTCAAAGACTATTTTTGCAATAGTTCCCCCAGCTCTCAGACTCTCTTTCTGTATTTATAGTTAGCAGTTCAAAAAAGATCTATAAAGTAGGTAGTGGGTGACATGTATAGATTAGTATTGTAAAGAACAAGAACTGGGTGGAGAATTTTTATCAAATGAACAGACTGACTTTGTGGGTTTGTTTTTAAATACAGGGTTTCATGTATCTCAGGTTGGCCTCTAAGTCACTTTGTACCTGACTATAACCTTGAATTTCTGATCATCCTGTATCCACCTCTTGAGTGAGGTGTGAGCCACTGTGCCTGGTACTATGCCATGCTGGTGAATGAACTCAGGACTTCATGTACTCTGCTAGTTGAGCTACATCCCCAGCCCTGATGTTTGAAGATGAGATTCACATACCTTCATTCCTTGGTTAAATTTGTAATTTTTTTTCTTTATTAGGCTTGCCCACCTGTCACTATGGATGTGTGTGCTTTAAGAATACAGCTTTTCATAGGCCTGAAAGCCATCTGTCATTTTAAAAACCACATCATACTTCTGACCAAGGCAGACCCTGAATCCATTCCAGAGAGAAAAGAGTCACCCAAGAGGCTTCTGTAAGTATTCCCCGAGCTCCACACATTTCTTTCCGTTTCTGGAATGAAGTGTACCTGGTATATTGTATATGTGTCTTACTTTTATTTTTTTAATTAAAACTCAGAATGATCAGATAGGTGGCTTTTCCAGAGAAAATAAGGAAGGTGTAATGATGTCTATAATATTGTTTGTAATTTACCATGGAACTTTTACAAGAAATGAATTACAAAATAGTTTCAGTAGCTATTGCCTGTACTGTGGATAAGAATATAAAAGATACGGCTTCTCTGTGGAATTATGGGCATAGACAGTACCTATAATGTTAATCCTGGCCACAAAGCTTTTTCCTGTTTCTCCTCTTGGGCATTTCAATACTACACTTTTTATCCAAAGGTCATTTTTATGTTATAAAAGAGCTTATTATATTTTTATATTAAAGAATGATCCATTTTATATTAAAGAAAATACATCACAGTAAAAGAGATAACACTTTAAGCCAACTCACAGGCTTATGTATCTTCAACATTTTTCCAGTGATATGAACATTTTACATGTTGTTTCTGTTAAGATTTTGTGGTCCATGGCATGCTGGACTCAAGGAAGCCACAATGAAGAGGGCCTGGACATGAGGATTTTCAAAACTGATAGGTCTGCATGCCTCTTTGGGGACCTTAGTCTTGGAGAATTGGAGGCAAGTTGGCTTACCAGTATATGACAGAATAGTAAATGCTATATACTTGTGAAGTGATGTGAACTTTGGAAAGTGACTATGTGTATAGCTAATTACCAAGGAAAAATTAAATGAAAGTGATGTAATACTTGTATTATTTTTACTGTACCCAATGTTTACAGGTGAGAACGGTAATTTATTAATAACATGTCTTGTCATTCTGATCCTTTTCAGTTCTAGAAAAGATGCCAGTGTTAGGAGCAGAATCCCTCCCATAGCCGAGGCTGGATGGAATCTGTATGTTGTGAATACAATTGCACCAGTTCAGCTATACAAAGAAATGGTACTGTTTCAGACATCATTTAGAGTGAAATTGAATGTGAAAGAGTGGTTCTAGACAGATGTTGCTCTTGTTATTGCCCAGCCTCTGCCCCTTGTATTTCACTAAGGAAACCTCAAAAGAGAAAAGCAAAATGGATTAAATCAATTATGCATTCCAGTTTGCTGCATCCAGACAGCTTCCAGGCTCCATCACAACAGTCAAGCATGTATCTTTCTTCACTTTGTTTTCACAGCTTCTGGCATTTAAGAGGCCACTTACACTCATCCTCCAGAGAGGACTACTGAACTAATTTAATCCATTGACTTTGAGTCCTAGTGTGCTGGTTGTTTTTTGTCAACATACTACAAACATTTACATAATCTGGGAAGAGGAAATCTTAATTGATTCCTTATCAGATTTCCTTATAGCTCTGTCTTAATTAATCATTGAGGTAAGAGGGCCACTGTCACTGTTAATGCCATTTTCTAGCCAGGTGGTCCAGGGTGATATAAGTAAGCATGTTGAGCAAGCCATGGGAGCAAGCCCAGAAGCAATGTTTCCCCATGGCTTCTGCTCCAGTTCCTGTTTCCATGCCTTGGCTTCCCTCAATATAGATTTTAAGCTTTATGCCAAATAAACCCTTTCCTCCTCCCAAGTTGTTTTTGATCAGTGTTTCATCATAGCAACAGTAGCCAAATTAAAGCACCTAACAAAGAACCAGGAAATGGAGGTGAAAAAACAAAAATCTCAGGTAATTATCTTCTGTCACACTCTTTCTTCCAAGTATAATAGGTTGTCCAGGTACAGTAGCTCCAGCAGCAGCCTGGTGAGGGGCCTAGAGTGGAATTCCTGTCGTTTTAAAATTCACAGCTCCCTATTCATCTCTGGCACTTAAAACACTTTTCTTTTAAATAATGTCAAGCTTAGATAAATTGAAGGAATGAGAAATATACAAAGAAAACCTTACAGCTAACACACAGATTGTAGTCTGCACACCTCCCAGTTTGCCCTCATATACTCCTGTACTTTCCCAACACAGTTATTTTCCTTGGTCCATTGAAAAGTAACTGTATACATCATAGCTTTTAACTTTAAATAATAAGATACACCTATATAACCACAGTAATCCATATGCTTCAAAAAATTTAATCTTGACACAATAGTTTATATAGTTTATAGTTTATATCCCACCCAGTTTAGTCAGTGGAGTCAGCCATGGCTTGATGGCTTTCCCACCAGTTCATTCTAGGATTGGGCAATATGCTTAATTATTGTGTCTTAGCTTACTTTAATCAGGAGGAGGAGAAGGAGAAGAATGCAGGCTGAGCAAGCCTAAGCAGTGATCCTTTCTGGTCCCTGTTTCTGTTCCTACCTCCTGGTTCCTTCCTCCAGGTTCCTTCCTTGTCTTTTGTTAGTGATGAACTGTGACCTGTAAGCCAAATAAACCCTTTCTTCCCCAAGTTGCCTTTGATGGTGGTGTTTTATCACAGTAATAAAAAGCAAACTAAGACAATATGCAACCACTTATTTACTTACTTTTAGTGTTTTATATACCTATATATTAATTTTATTAACAAAATGTAATGAAGTTCTTCAGCATGGAGACGGGGTAGGGAACTGTTGATCTTTCTTCAGCAACACTAGCTGTTTGTCTTTTTGTTTCAGGTAGACTACAGTAACACCTACAAGACTGTGAAAACCCAGAGCTGTATCCACTTACTCAGTGAGGCTCATCTGCTGGTAAGAGCTGCCCTGATGGATGGCAGTCAGCTGGAGCCTGCAGAGAAAGCAGAGCTCTTAGAAGCATTTAAAGAAAGCTGTGGGCACCTTGGAGACTGTTACAGCAGGTTGGTGAGACCTCTTAAGCTTTGTTACAGAATTTTACATGTAATTACCAGTTTTGTTTTGTTTTGTTTTGTTTTGTTTTGCTTTTTTTAATCTTTGGGAGTTGGTTCACTTTTTTCATTTATTTTACAAGCATTTGTTGAATGCATGCTATGTGTCAGGTACTGTGGTAGGCTTAAAGATACAAAATGAATATGACCTACCCAGTGTCTTGAAAGTGTCAAAGTTTGTTAGAGAAATAGTAAATCTACTACCAAACTTTTGAATATGGAAGGGTGGTTTTATTTATTTATTTACTTTTTATTTATTTTTTTACTTTATTTTTGTTTTCAGGACTTGAGGGGCATATAACCAGGAAAAAAGACCTGAGATAGCTTTGGTACTTGCTTCTTGTCTGTTAGCTTGAGGGAGAGGTGCCACTGGAACAGTCTGAGATCTTACTATTAGTAATCAGTGGTTTCTTGATGTCACAAAGAAATACTAAGGTCAATAGAGATTTTTGTTTCTGAGAATCATGTTTATAAAAGTTTTTGTAGACAGTTGTTTTACGGGCTTACTTAGCTCCTGTAAATGATTATAAGTAGACTATGCTGAACCATAAATGCCATTATTTTAGAGGCATATTAAATATTAAAATTCATGCTGGGTTGTCATGGTGCACACCTTTAATCCCAGGACTCAGGAGGCAGAGGTAGGTGAATCTCTGAGTTTGAGGCCAACCTGGTCTACCAAGTGAGTTACAGGACAGCCAGGGATACACAGAGAAACCCTGTCTTGAAAAACCAAAAATGAAAAACTAAAATTCACTTAATGAATGATTGCTATTCCACCTTTGTTGTGTTCAGGAAAAAAGAAACTGCAAATTGAAGTGAAATTATGAAATCAAACTATATGGTTACTAGTGGCAGGAGAAAAGCATTATGAGGCTTATTTCCTTGAAAGCATTATCTGTTTTATTATTAACTATGTTAAGTAGCTGGTTTAGAAATGAACATTTGCTTTTTTTTTTGAGTCTACCAGGTTGATCTCAGTCCTCGGGGGCGGCTTTGCCCTGGAGGAGGTGGGAATGGGGAGTGGACTGGGGGGAGGGGGAGGGGGGCAGGAGGGAGAAAACAAGAGAACACGTGGCTGATATATAGAACTGAATGGTATTGTAAAATAAAATAAAAGGAAAAAAAATAAACATTTGAAGCCCTTTAAAATTTCTCTCTCTTTAGGCTTGACACTGAGCAATCCCACCTCGCCTTACCATACTATAAGATGTCCGGTTTGTCTCTGTCTGAAGTTTTGGCCCGTGTGGACTGGACAGGAGAGAGTTCACAGAAATATGAGAGAGGATTAATATTTTATATTAATCATTCACTTTATGAAAACCTGGATGAAGAATTAAGTGAAGTGAATATAATTTCCTATACAGTTTCTGTTTTTAACTTTTCATTTTAATAATTTTTTAGTAAATAGTATTTAGAACTTAAGTTCCAAATATTTTCTTCTTTTTTTTTACACTAAAAAGAAATCAGTGTGCTCTTTTCTCCTTTAATGATTTTAGGATTATAGCTGGGAAAAGAGTTTAGGGGTCACCTTCTCATATTTCCTCAATATTCACCATGGAGATGTTATCTGTTGTGGTTGAGAACCTGCCCAATCATAGTGACATCTATTCTTGAAGTGAAGGACAGAACCAGGACCCTGCCTTCCTTTGCAGTATGATTTTTTTCACAACTCCATTTGACTTATTTTTCAAGTGTCCAAATGTCAAATGAGCCAGTGACCTGTTAAGACATTATTAAAGTTTATTTTTGTATTTTGTATTTTAAGCACAGTTGGAAATTGCAATACTGTCTACTTGGAGATTTCATGGGAAGTAAAATTTCTCTTGAGTTATATTATTGTATATATTTTGAACTAAGTTGTAGTTTTTAAATTGTAGATTTTTAAGTATAATAATATTTTCTCCTATGTGATTAAAATTAGAAATGTTGGTCACAAATTGGTATATATTTTTCAATGATTTTTTTTTCTTATTGCACCTCTGTAGACAGATCATGCCATCTCATTTCTAGTCTCCCAAATATTCTTATGAACACTGTTTCTCAATCATAACATTATATTGTTTATATACTGGCTTTACATGCATACATTCCTTTTGTTCTGATTATATTCTTCCTATTGGTTAACCTTTTATACTTTGTTCATATTCATCAAAGGAATTAGCAGCAAAAGTGGCTCAGATATTTCATGTGGCTGAGCCGAAGCAACTGCCTCATGTCCTCTGTAGTCCTTCTATGAAGAATATCAGTCCTTTAACTGCCTTGCATTATTTAAAGAATCTGGATACTTGTGAATTTTCACCAGTCTTAGTGACCTTGACCAAGGCAGCAGTGGCCTTGAAAATGGGAGATCTTGACATGTACAGAAATGAAATGAAGAGCCATTCAGAGGTATAGTACCATGCCTGGTGTTGAGCACAGTCTGAAAGAGGATTGAAGGTGGTCCCGAGGCATTTGGCTTTCTTCTGGCCTTGTACCTCAGGGCTTCTACTTTTTTTTTTTTTTAACTATTTTTTTTTTTTCTGAGATAAGATTTCTCTGTGTAACTGCCCAGGCTGTCCTGGAACATGCTCTGTATACCAGGTTGGGCTTAAACTCAGAGAGCTGCATGCCTCTGCCTCCCGAGTGCTGAGATTAAATGTGTGTGCCACCTGGCCTAGCTCATGGTTTCCTAGTAACAGATAACGGACAGTATTAGATGGGAACTAATCTAAGTGGGACTTTAGATCTGGCAAATGGAACAAAAAAATAAGATTGATAAATACCAAAAGTGGCTATTCAAAGATCTTTCATCATCTTAGTACCACATATATTCAGAATATTATGTTTGATACAGAAGAATATAAAAGCTGTGCCCAGAGTTGGCGATTAGAGTAGGTATAAGACACAGTGTGTTCCCTGAAAGCATAATAGGATAATGAGTTTTTTCAAGTATAGAAAGAAGGATATTAACTGCAAACCATATGAGTCTAAAGGTGCAAAAATGCTGTCCACTCAGAAAAAACCACAAGTGATGCCATGGAGTAGTGAATATTTAAATGGTACACCAAAGGAGGAAACAGAGGCCAAAGATGCTATTCATTTAAGGTGGGGGTGAGGGGATTATTTGTGTGCTTATGTCCCAGGCCTATTCTAAACTGCTTTCATGTATTACTTCATTTCATTCTTGTTTAGTGCTGAGATCAGTGTTGTCATAACTGTTACACACATGAGACCCCCTAAGACACAGAGCCGAAATAACTTGTCTGTGATTGCACAGTTGGTCAGCTTGAACAGGCAAGGTGACTTTAGAGCCTGGGCCGCCTTCTTATTGTTGCCTGCTTGGTCAAATGCTCACAGCATAAACAAGTTTTCTAAAACAGGAAAGATTATACCAGGAGACAATTTGCTATGAGAAGAAGTCAGCATTAGGGCATCTGCTTAAAAGAGCAGAGTTCTAAAAATCAGAGTTTTCTTTCCATAATTTTGAGAAGACTTAGGACATATATTCCGAATCTAAAACTCTTTACAAAAATGGAACATCTCTAAATTTAGTTATCTATTAGTAATTTATATAATACAGCTAATGGTATCCTTCTTGGGATAAGAGTTAGTTTTTGTGGCTAAAAAATAGAAATAAAATGTTAATAACTTTCCCCTAAATCATGAATGCATTAGGATGTATTATGAGATGAGTAAAGTTGATTTGTAATATATACTGCATTTTAACATTTCTTTTTTAATCTGAAGATGAAGCTGGTATATGGCTTCATTCTGGAACCTCGGCTGTTAATTCAACAGTGGAAAGGCCAGATTGCTCCTACTGAACTTGCAATTCACTTGAAGGAAACTCAGCCTGGATTGCTTGTGGCTTCAGTCCTGGGCTTACAGAAAAATGGTAAAATTGGAATTGAAGAAGCAGATTCTTTCTTTAAGGTTTGTCCAGTTGAAAATATAACTTTTCTGAACAACCTGATAGAAAACAAAGGAGAGTAGGAACTGAAGTGAATTTTCATTCATTATTGAAAAGACAGACTTCTGTATAATCAGTTTATAATGTAAACATACAGATTAAAAAGAATGTTTCTGCAGAAACTTCATGCACGCAACCTACAACCTGTTTCTTATTTTTAAAAAATATGTAACTTTGCTCTTGCCATGGCTGTCAAGCCATGACCACATGACCACATAAACTATATGACCACATGGTGGAGCAATAGCTCTGTTGTCCCATCTGGCTCAGCATTTATGTGGGGTACCCTGTTTTCAAGGTGCTGTGTGGAAAAGATGAAGACACAATTCCTCAGCTTTTGGTAGACTTCTGGGAAGCTCAGCTGGTAGCTTGTCTCCCAAACATGGTACTTCAGGAACTCTTCTTCAAGCTTACATCTCAGTACATCTGGAGGTTATCTAAGAGGCAGTGTCCTGATACCATACCATTGAGAACATCAGAGGATTTGGTAAGATAATGAAATAGTACCTTAAATGCATACATTACATGCTGCAATAATCTGTTCTTAGTTGTGTTTTATTTTTGAGAGAGAGAGAGAGAGAGAGAGAGAGAGAGAGAGCGCTAGCGCGCAAGCGAGCGCTGTGCATATGCACAGATGTGCAGATCCTAAAGGTCACTCTTGGGTGTTAGTCTCAGGAACTCTGTCCATTTCTTTTGCAACAGGGTCTCTAATTAGCCTGCAGGATATCAGTTAGGCTGTACTAACTAGCCAAAGAGCCCCAGGTATCTTCTGTTCTGCCTCCTCAACATTGAGTTTACAAATATGTACAGCCATACCTGACATTTTTCTAGGTTCTGGAAATCAAATTCAGGTTTTTATTCTTGTGAGGTAAACACATTACATACTGAGGCTCTCTTTCCAGCCCCTACCTTAATGTTTAATGCATAGAACGTACCTGAAGTTACCCATATCTTATGTATTTTCCCATTCTAAAGAACACCACCTGGGGCTGCTAACATGGCTTATCAGGTAAATGCTCTTTCTGCCAAGTCTTAGGACCTAAGTTCCATCCCTGAGATTCTCAGTGGAAGGAGAGAACTGACTCCTGAAAGTTGTTTTCTGATCCCTACATGTGCTTCATGGCACACACAAACATACACAAACATAAATAAATGAAAATTTAAAGACTACCGCCTAGAAGCCAGGTGTCATGGCTCATGCCTTTAGTCCTACCACTTGGGAGGCAGAGGCAGGTGAATCTCTGAGTTTCTGGCCAGCCTGGTGTACAAAGGGATTTCCAGGCCAGCCAGGGCTACACATGAGACCCTACCTGTCTCAGATTCTATACCCTCAAAATAAAGAATACTCCTGTTCCCTTTGCAGTGTACAGCATGTGAAGGGCTTTTCTTAGAACACTGCCACAGCTGTACTCGTCAGTGGAGGACTGAGTAAGAAAGGGGCCTCTGAGGAATTTTGGAAGGCCTGAGACCAGGGGCAGTAGCAATGTGCTTCCATCTCCTGTCAGAGCACACTTGGTTTCAATGTGTTGAAGGCAGCCATAGCAGTCCTTGTTTCCTATCCTTCTCTGCTTCCCTTTTTCAGCCCGGCTGTCATGACTGTGTGGCTACTGTGCAGTGACTGAAAAGGTCACCACTGTAATTTCTTGGATAAAGGATATCTGTGGGGATCATCCTGAGAACTTACAAGGATGTTTTGCCACCCCCAAAATAATGTAAATAAAAATTATTTCCACTCTAACAATTATCTTAATTATTAATTAATTATCTTAAGAACAGTGTTATTCTTTTTTTCTAGAAAGCATTTCTGTAGAATATTTTTAAATTTCAGAATATTAGAAAATGGTTATTGCAGGTTTTTGGTATGGAAGCAATGAAACTGCAGCCTTTTCCAGGGAAATACATTCTAAAAATCTTCCTTTTCCTAGGAGAGTTTGTAACTGAGTCTGAGATGTAGCAGAGGATTAATGAATGGGTGAAGAAATTATTTGTTTGTTTTGCTATTATGTTTGGCTTGTGATGCATTTCTGTAATGTTTCAGATAAATGCCTGCAGTCATTATGGCTTAGTCTATCCATGGGTTCATGTCTTAATGTCATCCGATTCCTTAGCTGATAAAAATTACACAGAAGACCTTTTGAAACTACAGGTAAATAAAAATGTCTCTTTTACTCTTTAAATATGTAATATGTTACAATATAATATGCAATTTAAATATGATGTGATATCACATGGCTTGCTAATTTAGAATATAGCTTTTGGTGGCAAAAAATCTATAGTTGATCACATTCAGCAGCTTTGGAATCCTGGCTTCTGTTTGTAGCTGCTGCTGGATGGGGCATCTGAGCTGAGAAGCTGGTAAATGGGTAAGCTGTGCAACTGTCCTCATTTTTAGGGTGTGCTTGAAAACAGCTGTGAGAAATAAAAGTGTACAAATATATAGGGATGTTTTGTGAGCATGAATTTTGTTTAATAATGGCTTAACACAAGTTAGACTTCTTACCCAAGCCACCACTACCATCTGTCTTATGAAAACTGTGTCAAAGAAGCAAGTTTATCTGACCCCAGAAGAGAATATTTCAAAAGAATTGTGGGACACAATTTATAGTATAGGAATTCATTCTATAACTATTTCTGCATGTGCTGTGGTAGGTCAGGCTGGGCTAAATGTGCATATCTTTTAATATTTTCTTTGGCCCAAAGACGGAATATAATTTTTGGCTTTCTTTTATTCGGTTTACTTGCTGTAGCTGGCCACATATAAAAATTAATATTTCATATTAGGAATTCTGAGTTTACAGATACTCTTGAAAAATGCAGGAATACTGACCACCTGTGCCTTCACTGCTCCTGAGGCCTGTTCTGACAGATGAAAGTAGCTCCTGTCTGAGCAGTGCACAGCCTGTCCGGTCTGCACCACCCTCATCTCCATGGCTTCCCATCTGGATGCTGAGGGCCTCATTGTATGTTTCCTTAAACCCAAACGGCCTTTATGCATTTTTGTTCTGCTTGATCCCTTTAAGCTTTTGGGTGTGAAATTCCTGATATAAAATTTGGGAATTGGTGTAAATGTGGTTATTATTGATTATAGAGCCTGCTGGTCAGTTGGGGATGGGCTAGAGAAGGAAAGCCAAGAGGCTAGATTGTTAGATTCAGACTCCAGACTGTGTGGCCTACATTCTTCTATTAAAATCATCAGAGTTGGGCATGGTGGTACATGCCTGTAATCCTAGCACCAAGGGGGTTGAGGCAGAAGGACCATGAATTCAAGTCTAGCCTTAGTTATTTAGTAGTTAACCACACAACAATACATCACCAAAGAAGAGTCTTTCACTGCCTCTTATCTCTAGTATCTGTGTGACACGGAAACTCCTGTGTTGGGTGCTTTATTTGTTCATTTTATAGCTACTGTCTGACGATGAGTTGTAAATGTGGTAGATAGCACTGGGTCTTGTCCTCCCAGAGCACACAGAATAGTGATATAGTTAAAATTGTAATTGTAATATGCTATGAAATTTCTACTGATAAAACTTCAAAACACATTCATAATCACAATCAAACAGTATAATTCAGTGATCATTTAAAATCCCTGTAAGCAACAAAAAATAGTTTTTGTTACTTAATCCATTCAATTAACCTCTATCTTTTGATTGAGAAATCGAAGCCAATACTTAAAGTTAGTAATTGAAAAGGATTTGGTGAGTGCTGTCATTTTGTTGTGTTTTTGTTTCATTTGTGTTTTTTGTCCTATTTGGTGTTTCTGTAGTAATGTCTTTGTTTGTTTTCTTTATGTGGCTTCTTGTATTTGCTTATCCTCTCTTCAGTCCAAAGTATTGCTTCCAGTATTCTTTGTGGGTCAGGCTTGGTGGGTAATAATTTTTTCACCTATTTATATCACGAAAGGTTTTTCTTTCTCCTTCATTATGGCAGATAGTTTTGTGGGGTAAAGTAGTCTGGTTTGGCAACTGTGGTATTTTGGAGAACATTGCACCAGGCTCTTTAGGCTTTCAAAGTCCCCATCAGCAATTATTTTTGCCTTTATATGTGACATGTGCTTTTTCCCCTGCAGCTTTGAGTGTCCTCTTTGTTCTGTATATTTAGTGTTTTAATTTGATGTTCCATGGGGAATTTCTTTTCTGGCCTTGGTTTGTGTTCTTTGTGCTTCTTATATCTGTATGGTTGTGTCTTTCCTTAGTTTGTTGAAAATCTGTTCTGTGGCATTAACTTAGGATTCTTCTCTCTTATCTATACCTGTGCTTCATAGATTTGGTCTTCTCACAATGCCCTCCAGTTTCTGCACATTCCTTTTACCCCTTTTTGGAAATTTTTATTGCTAAAAATGAAAATAAACTGACTAAACATTTCTAAATCTTTCCCCTAGTTATTCTTCTTTCTAGATTATCCATAGATCAGTCAATCTCAGTCACTAAGAAAAAGGACCATTGGAGCTTACAAAGGGTTTTTTATTTTTATTTTTATTTTTTGACTCTCATTTAGAAGTAGGATGCTCAGAATCACCTAAGAGTGTTTCCAAAATTGTGGCTCGCTCCCCATCCCTTGGTGGATTGATATGTTGGTCTGTTGTCCTCAGTTACTATAGGGGCATATTTGTATAAAAGTTAGTATAAAATCTACAAGTCCTTGATAGGTTAGAAGGCTATTATTTGAGAGAACACTGTGACTAGTAAATATCTTGCTCTCTGTGTCCTTGCCTGTAAAAGTAGAGAATCAGAAATTTGCCAAATCAGAGCTGAGGCAGAGGGATCTTGCAGGGAGAAAGCAATAAATAGTATGTACTAAGGGTGGAAAGAATTGATTTCCAGTAATTAAAAAAAAAAAAAAAATGAAGATGTCTAAGAAACCATCCCCAACAGTCTTTTACAGACTAACAGTAATCTTTGGGCCATTTTCAGTCAAGTGATAGAAGTTTTGTTGAGTACTTATCTATTTATTTGAGACAGTATCTCATTCTATAACCTGGCTGACCTGGAATTCACTGTGTCGCCCACATTGCCACCAAATTCTGGGCTCCTCAAGACTTCATCTCTCAGTGCTGGTTTTATAGGGTATGATGTGATATCTGGATAAGTGTTGTTTTGTGTTTCTTATTATACTGATTTTTAAATTCTTAACAATATAGCTAAAATGAAGCAAAATTTTACAAATAATCAATTTTTTGCTGTTTTGACTAGTTTCATTTCAGCTCTGGTTTGGTATCCATGCTTTTGCCTTTTCCTGCCACACCCATTATCCCATTTAATCAGGGGTCAGTAGAGAAGTAATCTGTGCCTCCTTCTGTGTTGGAAGATACTGTGTGTGGGAAAGTCTCACTTTATTTCATCTTTGCTATCTTACTGTCAGGAAATTATTCAGATAAATTATTTAGCTTGGTAAGAAAAGATACCAACCTTATTTTCTTGGCCAGTCCTTGGTGGAATAAAATATGTGGAATAAAATAATCATGCTGATTAAGAGTGTATAGTGGATGTTCCAGGTCATCCTGTAACTCTGAGAGTATGCTGTAGCAAAAGAACATACAGTGAAAGAAATTAAGCCATAAGTATATCTCTTAATAGGAAAAGGGAAATTTTTGATGGTAGAATAAAAAATGCTATAGAGTTATTCTTAAGAGTAACTAAGCTCATGCCTCTCAATAGTAGACTGGCATTTAATAGAGGGATGTGGAGAAGAAGGGGATGCTGAGATGAAGCCATATATACACAGCCAAGAAGAATGGATAGCTGAATTAAAAAACCATCAACAATTTCCAGAATTTAAAATCCTGAATCATGACAGGACACTAGTGGAATTCAGGTGTTTCTGGTACATGGACTGCTTTCACCCAATGTGAGGTTGAACTGTTGACCTTGTATACATCCTACTTCACAAATGAGTCTGTCAGATACGCTAAGCCTATAGGCTGAAGATGATGCCCCAACACTGCGGAGAAACCTCAGGTGACTGTACAGGCAGCTGGCTATTTCTGTCAACTCACAAATTTTTTGGAAGTTGCTTGCATGCACTTCCTGTTTTTATTTTTGTTAGCTAATATTATTTCCTTCTTGGGTCTCTGAGGGAGTTGAAGATTAGTTAGTTATAGTTGAAGTTTAATTAGGATAGAAAGTGAATTAGATACATTTTGGACTTACCAAAATAGGATAGATAATGGAATTATTTTCTCTGAATTTGTCAAATACAAATGAACTAGACATTGTTTAGGTATTATTACTTGTATATATTATTTATATTTATTAGTATTTATTACTTGTATATATTTTTATAGTTATTATACTTTTGTATATAGTTTTTCTTATGTTAGTCATAACCTTTTATAAAGTAAAAGTTTATTTTATAAAAAAAGTTAGTTATAAAGTAAAAACTAGTAAAGTTGCCTAAAAGGAAATACTAGTAAATTTATGAATATTAAAGTAATGCCTATGCCTGTCATTCAGTATGTGGTAGGTGGTATGTACAAATGACTAGGTTCTAAACAGTCACTTTAAAAGGAAAAAATACTATTTATTTGGGGGAGCAGTGAAATCACTGCCATGGTATATGTGTAACTCAGAGGAAAACTTGAGGTACTCACTTCTCTTCTTCTATCATCTGGTTCCCAGGGAATAAACTCAGTTCATCAAGCTTTGATGGCATGTTTGCTTACCTGTAGAGCCTTCTCCCCATCCTGCAATCACTTTAAAAATATATTCAGTTTTCTTTGTGGTTACTATTCTAGTTTGATCCTGTTGCTGTGACAAACATCATGACCAAAAGCAACTTGGAGAGGAGAGGAGAGGGGAGGGGAGGG